AAATATCAGTCATATTGATACCATACTAGTGTGGGGACTGATACTTCAGTTTTAGATTCTCTCTCCTATGCTCTGTACATTCCTCCCATTTCATCAGTAAGCAGACATGTCTTTGCATGTCTCTGCAAACATTACTGTTCTCCCAACTTACATGCACAGCTTGCTCCTCCTGTGCTCTACTGTGTTTTGTTGTTGTCATGTGACTCACTTCTTAAAAGTGTCAGTATCAGTACTTGGTAACGGTGTTACTGGCCCTGTATTCACTTGGTATCAAACAATACCAAAATTAGAAAGTTGGAAAACTGTAAAAAGAAATCACATTACTTCTGAACTTTGAACTTGATTGGCTCTTTGTTTCCCTATCTTGTTTTACCTGCTCTTCTCTCTGTCAACAGACCATCTGTCCCACCCCCACACATGCCATTGGTCCCACCTGAGCAATGCTTAGTCCTAATTGGTTATACATAACACCAGTATAGTGGATTCAAACAGGAGTGGGTAATTGAGAGAAGTAAAGCTTACTGAAAGAAATGCAAAGTAAAAGCATGGACAATAAAAAAAACACAGAAATACATAATCAAGTAAGGGGGAAAAAGGGAACTGTGAAATAATTCCACTGAATGACATTTGTCTACTGAAACACCCTACTGTCAAGTGTGACTTCCCTCTTGATTTCCTGAAACAGAGTGTAACCCGATACACACCACTTTTCCCTCCACAGTAAAACTGGTTGACATTCACCTTCACATACAAAGATTCACACGGGACATTCACACAGGACAGACAATGGATCAGGAAAAACTCTGCTGTTCAGTGTGTCTGGATCTACTGAAGAAGCCGGTGACTATTCCCTGTGGACACAACTACTGTATGAGCTGCATTAAAAGACACTGGGATAAAGAGGAACCAAAAGGAGCCTACAGCTGTCCTCAGTGCAGAAAAGTCTTTGCACCGAGGCCTGAGCTGGTGAAAAACACTATGTTAGCAGAGTTAGTAGAGGACTTGAAGACACCTGCAATCCGACCTGCTTCAGCTGATCTCTGCTATGCTGGACCTGAAGATGTTTCCTGTGATGTCTGCACTGAAAAGAAGCTGAAAGCAGTGAAGTCCTGTCTGGTATGTTTGGTTTCTTACTGTGAGCAACACCTCCAGCCTCACTATGACTCCTCTGCCTTTGACAAACACAAGCTGGTCAAACCATCCAACTGGCTGAAAGGGAACATCTGTTCAACTCATAATGAGGTGATGAAGATTTTCTGCCGTACTGATCAGCAGTGTATCTGTTATGTCTGCTGTGTGAATGAACATAATCACCATAACACGGTTCAAGTTGAAGAAGAAAGGAAACACAGGCAGAAAGATCTCAAGCTGATTCTGCAAAAAATCCAGCAGAGGATTCAGAGAAGACAGGAGGAAGTGAAAGTGCTTGATAAAGAGGTAGAGGGGATTAAAGTGTCGTCTGATGAAGCAATGAAGGACAGTGAGACCATCATCAATGAGCTGGTGAGTTACATTAAAGAAAAGGGAAAAAGTCTAAAGCAGCAGATACAACTCCAGCAGAAAGAGGAAGAGAGTCGAGTTGTAATGCTTCAGAAGAAGCTGGAGCAGGAGATCACTGAGCTGAAGAAGATGGACGAGGAGCTGAAGCAGCTTTTACACACAGAGGACAACACAGAGTTTCTACTCAGCTACTCCCTGCCTTTCAAACTCAACGATTATACAGACTCACCAAGCTTCAAAATGTGTCCAGTTAAGTACTTTGAGGATCTGCAAACAGCAGTGTTAGAAGTCAGAGATAAAATCAAAGCTTTTCTCGCTGAAGAATGGAGGAAGATCACTCTGACAGTGAGATCAGTGGATGTTTTATTGCCACAAAGCAAGCCTAAGACCAGAGATGAGTTTTTAAAATATTCGTACCAACTGACAATGGATTCAGATACAGTGCACCCTAAAATATTTCTGTCTAATCAGAATAGATCTGTGTCAAACACTGTTCAACATCCAACTAATGACTTTTCTTTTCAAAGAAAGGACAGGTTTTCCAACCACCAGCAGGTCCTGAGTAAGGAGAGTCTGATTGGACCTTGTTACTGGGAGGTGGAGATGAAAGGGAAAGGCCTTTCAGTTGCTGTGACATACACGAATAAAAATAACCTGGATCAAAGTGATTTTGGAAGTAACAATAAATCCTGGGCATTAGAGTGTTACGGTGACTGCTACAAATTCAGACACAATAAAATCACAACTTCCATCTCAGGCCCTCTGTCCTCCAAAGTAGGAGTGTACGTGGATCCCAGAGCAGGTGTTCTTTCTTTCTACAGCGTCTCTGACACCATGGCCCTCCTCCACAGAGTCCAGACCACATTCACTAAGCCGCTCTATGCTGGACTGTGGATTTGGAAGAGTTCTTGGGCTGACAACACTGCTACATTTAATGAGATAAAATAGACCGTCTTCATTGGTTTGTGAACCCATCTTGTTCTTTCCTTTACTCACTGATCAAATGCCATCATCTTAAGCCAGGTGTCACGGGGAAACATGAAATATGAATTAAAATCTGATAGATTTCTTTGTGCACAGGAACATGAACTCAGTAGCAGCTAGGTATGATGAGTGCCAGTGTCTGCACATGTATCATTAATCAAAATGTGAGAATTATTTTGTACGGTTTATACCGTTGCTGTGAGGTTTTCTGTCTCACTGTATGAATCATTCATGAACTTTCTCAATCATTTTTCTTCCTTTTACATCTTTTGCATTTTAAGAAAATAACTGTAATGATGCGTTCAGTACACCCATAATAATATAAAATCAGTTGTACATTTTTAAAAAATAATGTTTAACAATAATTATTGATTGTTAAAAATGAACTAGTGAGGGCAGTAGGTTAAACAGGCTGACTATTTTTAATAGTGTCTGCAGTATTTATTGTATCAGTCCAGCTGTTACATGATGTCATTAGTTTTGAATTTGTTCACTGTTATTGACCCGTTATCATGTTTGTAACATTTGTGACGACCTATATGACATAGTTGTCTAATAAAGATGAGTTTAGTTTTATTCCAACAACTTTTCACACCTTGAATATTTATATAATTCAGTAGATTTCGTATAGTGAGCATCTTGGAGTATAATGCAGGATTTTCTCTATCCACACAAAAATTGAATACAAATGTTGAGTTAGTTTTTTTTTTAATGTACTTTTAAAGTATCCTTTTAAACAGCTGTCATATATTATATGTCATTTTTTTCATCAAAATACCAGCTTAGGTTTTGAAACTGTTGAAATATATACGACAAGACAGGCTTTATAATTCCCATTAACATTCAGATGATTTGAATTCAAACAGAAGTGTCAAGCAGTACAAAATAATAAAGACAGTTCATCACCCCAATGTGATGCATGTATGGAGTTCTTCCTAGAAAGTATCATGTTTTCCTTTTTTCAGTCTTAAGCAATAGACCCAGGAGTCTTCTGTGTTCAGCCCCCCCAAAGGAATTAAATTCCCGGACAGCAAGACGGTCTTTGTTTTCTCCATAATCTATCGCTTTGGTTCTCACAGCACTAAACCAAATGGGGTTTCTCAGCTGTTCTCCCCTGAGGATGAATCAAAACCATCTTGTTACACATCTGAACTTTCAGAAGTCTGATGTGGAAAACCAAAGATATAGTCCACTTAGCCTCATAAGATGTTTTGTGTCCTTTATTGTGTGCTTGTGGGTGATCCATTGGGCCCGCGCTGCCACCTCATGGTAAGTCAGAGTATTTGCTTTGTAAACTACATGTCTCGTGTCCTTCCTCAGGTAAAGATGCAAATTAGCATGTTGGAGCTTGTTTAATCTGTTTCAGAAGCAAGAAAGCAAGAGCAGCTCAAAGCAGACTGTGGGTTTTCTCCAGGCTTTACTACTTCCTGTAGGTCCTGGTTGCATATGACTGTTCTTACTGGCCTGGCTCACTCCAAAAGCAGTCATTCTGTTAGTCACGCCACCTCATTGCCGTAGAAAAGCGTCTCACAGCCACTGAAACAGATTTAAGAGTAGAACATACATTTGGTCTCATGGTATTCCCAGTAAAAGAAAGAGAAACTCTCTGACAGAGTGCTCCTGCACACGTCTGTAAAGCCTTCTGCTCAGCTTTAGACAAAAAGCAGCCCTGGGAGATGAAGTCGTAGATAACCAGCTAGGTGATATCCTTTGTGGAGGATATAATTAAGTAAAAGATGGCCATTTAAATGTGAGACAACCAAACTGATTACGTTACTGTTTTGAAAAAGAGGACAGCTGTCATGGGGATGGAGCGGACTGAGGCACAGACTGAGAGATTGGATTTAAACAGTTCTTTATTTATCCACACCGGGTGCACTATATGCACGGGGGGAGGGGGGGGACACACCAGGGTTTTGAGGGTCCACAGGGTCTGGAAAACACAAAGCCTTCACACTCGCTCCGCTCCTCCTCCACATAATCACACTCAGTAGTCCATGGTCATGGACTACTCACAGAAACGAGGGTTACTCCGAAGCGAGCATGAGAAATGACTGAATTCTGCAGAGTTGGGTATTACTAGCTAAATTTACTCAATATTCCAGCAACGAGTAGCTCAGCCCCCCTGCCTTAAGAAGAGCCAGCAAAGAAATTCAGAATCACAGGTGATCAGCTGCAGGTGCATGGCCCAAGGGCGGGAGCTCAGCTCCACTCAGGCAGAGCGAGAGAGAGAGAGAGAGAAAGAAAAGACAAAGCAATAACAAAAGCATTTGTAGCCACACTGGGCTGGCCGGGCAGGCACAGGTACCCTGACAACAGTTGTAAGAATATGATTGATCTCTAAAATGGCACATTAGCAGGTTTCACCATATTTGTCCATTTATTCTGACCCTAAAGTAATAACAACGGAAGACTAATGCTGGTTAATAGTTTAATGTTACATTTTCTAGACACCTCTCTTGGGCTCACCAATAAGACAGTTGCCCGCCCTCTCAGCCTGGCCATACAAAATAAAAATCAACCACTAAGTTTGACAGGTTGCTGAATTAAGACATAAATATCCAACTACTCTGAATATGAGAAACAAAAGAAATCAGTTTAGTGTAAATTCAGGTTTGTAATGTTTATTTGTGTAATTTTGGTATTGAATCTGTTTAAATGCTGCATATGCAGTACCATACTTGTTGCTCATACACAACAGCGTTTAACCCCTTAGCAGTCCAATTAGTCCCCTAAACCATCCAATGTCCCGTGGGCGGTACGTCCGACTGCTAAGGGGTTAAAGTTCATTTCCTTCACTGGGCCCAATCTGGCAACTCCTGCGTCTCAAAGGAGGAGTCTCGAGGAATGTATTTGTCAGACACAGTCAGTCCCATCCGACCTGTGAAGAAAGCAGGACGCATGATTTCTGGTAAGTAAATACTTCTATGTAGTTGTTTATTTATTTCAAACAAGTTTAATCCACAGGTCCAATGCACAAATCTAACCTCTGTTTCAGAGACAAACAGCCAGCAATACTTGATTAACAGCACTTATTAAGCATATTTTTTGTTTTTCTTTAAATATTTGTAATAATATATGATATTATTACATAATGATAATAATGAAAGATGTAACCGGTCATAAATAAATCAATGTTTTGGACACTCAATGATTCTTGTGTCAATGCAACAAGTAGATGATCTATGATAGCTTCTTCTGTGTGCTCCCTTTGTCACAGAAGTGGCCACAACAGGTCGGTCCACATTTTTCATTTAACTGATTTTTACACTGGTGTCCTTCCTGACTTCCTGCTTATGTGGCAAATGTGTAAAAAACCACTTAGAAGAAACATTAAGGTTGAGACATTTATTTATTATACAAACTGAAAAAAATGGTCTCTTCTTTTTATGTGGACTGAAAATTATTGATTTTATTCCACCACAGGCCATCATGTGACAATGCAAAGCTTTTAATGTTTTAATTATGTTTAACTTGATAAATATTGGCATCAGAGACCCATGAAGAGCTACTACTTTTTTACTTTGAAATGTGTGTTGTTGTTTTTTTAATTACAACAAGCAGTCCATCACTCATCACTTCACTCTGCTTTAATTTCTGCATGAAATCAAATATCTTGATGCATTCTCAATCATCCAGGAAAGTAAACCTCCAAAAGTTGATTCTGTTCATCTGGACGTAGCGTTTTGTGGGAGAAACGTTTCGTCACTCATCCAAGTGACTTCTTCAGTCTCAGCTGACTGCAGGTTTCCCCAAATCTTATAAACAGTACATTTGCATAATGACTGAAACTAGCCCACTATAGGAACAATGGGCTGGGAGGTCAGTTCCTTAATCATAATTATGCAAATTCTCATGACCATTGATCAACAACCACTGATCAATGGCCATGAGTACCATTCACAGAGAGTTGGGGGTCTCACTAGGCGTAGCTCAGGGTGATGTACCAAACCCATAATGGTATTTCCTGTTTTTTTAATATTCATGTGACCTCAGCCCCCATAGAGAATGGAGCGGGTAGTATTAGTACGGATAGTTTTGAGGGCTTTCTGGAGTAGAACCAGAACCTGCTGCAGAGATTATATGTCTTGTGTGGTCTGAGAATACTTTGGGATCCCTCAGTTGGACCCGAAAACCTGGAATAGCCTGATATCACTGTGGACCAACTTTGAATAACCAGAAGATAGTGGGTGGATAATTAAGAGTGTGACGTATGCCTTTCTGGAATGACCTGATACATGCGTCTTCTTTTCACAGTGAAACTATTTGGCATTCACCTCATCACACAGAATGGCACAACAAGGAAGCAAGTCAGTAAAATTCCACTGTTCAGTCTGTCTGGATCTACTGAAGGATCCGGTGACTATTCCCTGTGGACACAACTACTGTATGAGCTGTATTAAAGGACAATGGAATAATGAGGATCCAAAAGGAGCCTACAGCTGTCCTCAGTGCACAAAGAGTTTCATATCGAGGCCTGAGCTGGAGAAAAACAGTATGTTAGCAGAGTTAGTAGAGGACTTGAAGATATCTGGACACCAAGCTGCTTCAGCTGATCTCTGCTATGCTGGACCTGAAGATGTTTCCTGTGATGTCTGCACTGAAGAGAAGCTGAAAGCAGTGAAGTCCTGTCTGGTATGTTTGGTTTCTTACTGTGAGCAACACCTCCAGCCTCACTATGACTCCTCTGCCTTTGACAAA